TATCAAATTGTACTCGTGGTGCTGTCATAGCTGTATCTCGTCTCTGTTGGCTTTTTTTCGTTTTTAACAAACTTGAATGCAATGAGTGGCTTTTCATGTCGTTGGATTCTTTATTTGTTGACCATCGTTGACAGACATCTGCAGTAAGCATTTTGTTAGATATCCATCCGTCCGTATGTCACGTGACAAAATCGTATAATTTCTCTTTAATTTGGAAATCCACCGAGAGAGGTTTGAGAATGAAACAAACAAAAACATATCTAAGTAATTCAATATTTAAGTGGCTTTCAATGAACGCTTGGAGGTTTCTATGCAAGGATGTATGTAGGTGTGGGCTTTGAAATGGCGTGGGGGCTACCCACTAACAATGTGGTGATTAAAATGGCATTCTTCGTTTACCGAATATTAAGTCTTTTCAGTGGTTTAACATTATTTGTTGAATTGAATTGGCGGACATAGGAAAGGTGAACATATTGTTACAAATTGAAACTGGACATTGATAATATATATGTACTTTGAAGTCTCGTTGTTCAACTTTGTTGCCTCTTACAAAACGACTGGTGTTGAACTGGCAAATAAATCTCTTAATAGGATTTTATGAATAGACCTAAAGGTTTGTCGGGAATATCTGTTCTATTGCACATCACAGCCCCTTCTAAAGTTATCATTTTACACAATATTTTAAAAAGAGAAAAAAACATTTTACTGGTAAAAAGTTTTTATTCACGAGGAATCCGATATACCAAATTATAGTAATTTCAATGAGAAATCAGTAAGGAAAGTAGTAAAGTCGGACTGGGCCGAGTATGTTCCTCGAAGGAACATACATATGTCTTTCTGCAACCTATGGTAAATTTAATTCCATTCGGACAGAGTTAGAGTCGTCTGCGCACCACGGGACAAATTTATGGAAAACGAATTATAGCAAAAATTCGTTCGAAATACATATGGAAGCTGCATCTGCACAAATCAGCAACAAAACACAAAAAACAGTTTCAATTTTCAATTTGATATGCTGTACAAAATTTCGTTTTAATCGGATGAACATTAGGAGTTTGGTGCACCATTAATGTAAAATCGGACGAATATATATGCATATGTGGTAGCTATATCTAAATCTGAATCAATTCTAGAATTGAGTTGTGTCTAGAATGATGAGTGGTATGCTATGCCAAATTTACTGCAAATCGACGAATATATAGGGACTTTGGTGCACTATTTACCTAAAATCGGACGAAAATATATATGGGACCTCTGCCAATTTTCGTGCAAATCAAAGGATATATAGGGACTTTGTGGACCATTTACATAAAATAGGATGAAAACTTATATCGGAGCTATATCTAAACCTGAACCAATTTTCACAAAAGTTAGCACACATCTTTGTAAACTGAATTCAGTACGCTGTGCGAATTTCGTGCAAATCGAAAGATATACAGGAACTTTAGTACACCATTTACTTTAAATCGGACGAAAATATATATGGGAGCTATATCTAAATCTGAACCGATTTTTCCCAATTTCAATAGGGTTCTTCCTTGGGCCTGCACCACATTGAAGGGTATAAAAACAGTGAGTATAATCGGACGGAGCCGACCATATCATACCCCACATAACTACCACGGAATTCTAATTTTCTGTGTATATATATTTCGAGCCTGACAATATTTCCGACGTTTGCACCCTCTTCATAGATTAGAGGCCATCAGCTCCTCTTTCAATTAGAATATTATCAAAACATCCTTCTTAAATAGTTCCCTTCCCCGTGCTTTGTGTTGTAATTTCCGACTTATTATTATGGCTTAGAGCGGCCATAAAAACAAGACACAAAAAGTTTTCGGTCCATTTCATTCCTTTTAATATCATCTGATCATTACCGAACCTCTAAGCGCCGTCTTTGAACATAACCGGAACTTCATGTAAAATGTCATTTCATTTCTGCCTCTAGAGGGGTAATGCTAATACAAAACAATACTAGAATAAGTACACCCATCGCATCGGAGTACATTTCAGAGATTATATAATTGATATCAATTTAAGGGTCAACCACTCTTCTTGGATATACCATCAACATCTCGAGTCTATGTTCTTCAGTAGTAAATATATACGCTATAGAATACAAATTTTTGTCACACAAAATCTGGGCCCATTTTACACGATAAATATTAAACTATTCTCCTCAAAAGAGTCATTTATATTCCTGGGCCAGACCCCATTCTCCGTATAAAATTTGCTGATGTTCGCGTCATAATTGCGACCAGAAAAACATACAAAAATAATGTATTTGGTCCATTTCATCGGCTAATGTTAACCGATCATTACCATGACTACATGCAAAATTTCGTGGCGATTGGTCCATAATTATAGCATGTTAGTTTAACTCAGCTAGTCGAGATATGACGATCGGTATACTAAATAGTGGGGGTATGACCAATATTTCGCGGTGTTACAAATTTCTGGGGCCACAAATTTCTGGGGCCGCTATAATACTTTGACAACATAGGTATGTTGGGTATGACAACATAGGTATGTTGGGTATAAAGCACAAAACAAATAGTTACCACCAACCGTGAGCCAATATTGCGAATTTTTAATATGGAGATTTTCTATTCAGTGAGAATCATCAATATAAACTTCGAAACAATTCCACTGAAAAACGTGTCGCAAAGCTTTTCAAATACCGAATATTGGTGGGTAAGGTAATATGGAGGCTACCTTAAACAGAGGACCGATATATCCAATTTCAATAATAAACATCCTAGGGGGAACATAAAAAAAATCAAAGATCTATTTTAATCATTTCGAGCTTTATCGAGGTTTCTAAAGCCGTACGTGGATAAATCGAGAAAAAATATAATCTGATCAAGAATATATACATTTACATTATAGGGCATCAGGTAAATAATTCGAGTTGTCACAGTGAGAAATTTAAAATACACTCCACCTTGTTGATTGAAATTTAAATAGATTCAGATTTAAATAATTCATATATTTTTCAGTACTAATTTCAGTTAATTTTTGCGTATTTCTTTGTGTTTAGTTCCGTTCTCTATTGCAACTCTTTTGTACATTCCATTTCACAATGTTCTATGGATAATTATTAAAATTTCACTAAGCAATATTCCTCATGCAATTAGGGATGTCTACATCCAGCCCACACTTTATATATATATATATATATATGAATATACATGTATATGTATATCGAAGTGTGTGCAATTAATTATGAAACTGCATTTATCTTTAAAAGGGATATATGATGTGTATGAATACCATGGTAAATAATGGAATATGGAAGCCCTAAAAATTACACGGAGGAAAAATATTAATAAAAGTCATTAAAAATGTGAATAAAAATATTGAATTAAATTCAAATGTAAATCGAACATGCAAATGAGAGGGGATTTAACCAGAAACACGAGCCTAACCACAAACACGGGTCTATTATATAATTTCGACCGATTTCATATGATATCCAATACGCTACATCCAATCCAACAAACATTAAAGTTTGTACTGAGGACAGAATAGAATCTAGAGTGAAGCCACATTAAATTGCTTTAACAATTCGACGCCTCCGAACCATAGTATGCTAAGTCGACTTAGCATGTTTTAAAGTTCTTCACGTTTTTAGATACTACGGTCCTTAATTTAAATTCTCTGAAATTTTGGTAAAAATCGGCCAATCCAAACCAAAGTTATAAGCAACCAGTGAGCGGAGCAATATAGTCGGACGGGGCCGACCATATGATACCCTACACAACTTCCACGAAAAACGAACTTTCTGTGGATCTATATTCTGAGCTTGGGCAATATTTCGCAATTTTTGAACCATCTGGACCAACTACAGACCGACAATTATTACTAGTGTTCAGTACAGTCCTTTTAATTACTTGTCCAAATTCCCTTCCCTTGTATTGTGATCTTCTTATTCCCATTGTAGCCTATAGATCGAATCGAAAAAACACAAAAAAATAAGTTTTCGGTCCACTTCATCACAATATAATTATCTGATCGTCACCGAAAATTGTAGGCGTTATCCTTGACCATAACTGGAACATCATGGAACATTTTAAAGCGATCAGCGCTATATTTCCGCCCTCTAGTGTGGTAAAGGGTTAATAAATAATATCTGAATACATAAGCACCTGAACATATTTAAGTGCAACTCCCACATCTGAGTACATACGACCATATAATTGATATCAATTTAAAGGTCAACCACTGCCATTGGATGTACCAACAACTTTTCGGGTCCATGTCCTTCAGGGGTAAATCTATACTCTATAAAATACAAATTTTGTAATTTTTCACACAAAATTCAGGGTCCCTTTGACCCGCTAAATATTGACCCATCCTTATCAAAACAGGCATGCTTATTCTTTGGCCCGATCCTAATCTCTATGTAAAAATTCGCGATGTTTGGGTCATGATTGCGGCCTCTATAGCGACCAGAAAAACCGATAAAAATTAAGTATTTGGTCCATTTTATCCCCTAGATATTAACCGATCTTTACCAAAAACAATAGGGGTCTTCATTGGCCAGAACTCATCCTACATGCAAAATTTCGTGAAGATTGGTCCATAACTGTGGCCTGTATCGTGTTTACAAAATATAATGGACAGACGGACGGACGGACACACGTGTCTAGATCGACTCAGCTAGTCGAGATATGACGATCGGTATACTTAAAGGTGGGTCTAGGACCAATATTTCGCGGCGTTACAAACTCTTGGGGCTGCACAAAGCTATAATACCCTGACAACATAGTTGTGTAGGGTATAAAAATGTACTTAGCATGGCACGTAAGATATAAGAAACTTCCATACTTTGAGAGCTTATACTGAAAAACTTACTTTTCAGACTTAGCATACTATTCTTCGGAGGCGTCGAATTTACCATGGCATAGTCCCCATACATTTTAGACATTTTGATTTAAGCCATTCTTCGCCCCGCCGAACTTCTTCTTGTTCGTAATGACATTATTTCTTTCAGTGGATTAATACATATTTACTTTCATTTCAGCCCGGGGATTGAGACGCAAACAATCATCACATGAAAAACAACTGCATAAAAAAGCATATTTGTTGAAATTAAAAAATGTACACGTCTACCACATCGTTTCTTGCAAGCGGTCGGTCGGTGGCCGTCCTGTGCTGTTAAAACAAAAGAATGTCTCAAGTGGAATATGCACAAACAGCCAAGCAACAATATACGAGTAATGCACACCAGCATTCATAGCGGCATTGGAAACAATGGTAATATCCTCCAAGTCTTCGTGCTCGTCGTCGACATTGTAATCATCATCAGAAGCTGCGGTATTAACAGCAGCATCAGGATCAGGCTACCAACGAAAGTGAGTGAGTGCATTAACTACAACAACAAAAGTAGAATATTCAAAATGATGATGATGGAGTCGGGCAGGATGAGACAAGAACGAAAGGAGTGAGCAATATCAACCACATCATCTAAAGCGGCTCAGGAAAACAAAAATATGAAAGAAAAAACAGAACCCGAATAGCTATGCCATCAGCAGGATAGTATACATACACATACATAGTGTGGGTAATAACTCCGAGCTTAGCAACAATGCATTCAAAAGCAAACAGCAACAACAACAACAACAACAACACCAATAATGCTAACGGCTACCCCTACATAATCATGCAAAGCATAAATCCAATGGTGTGCATATTTTGTACTGCCACCTCGCAATCTCATTTCAAAGGATTTGCTATTCACATTCCCATCCGCCGAAAATTTACTCATACCAGATGGGGCGATATGGAAAATCGGCAAAAAAGCACGAACATATTTAAAATGTCATAAAAAATGCTGTTGTCAAAACAGCAAAGACCACCAGCCACAAGAAGAAGCAGAAGAATGGAGAAACAACTTCAAACCAAAATACGGGAAACCCCCAGACCGCTGGATGCACAAAAAAATAAAATCACAGAAATCCCTTTTATCCGTTTCTGTATTACAGTTTAGGTTTTGTGTATGTTGGTAGTTTTTTTTTATTTTTACAACTTCCTTTACGGGATATTTGAGTGAGTGATACCCTACAGTTGTTTAGCATAAATATAGGTTTGCAAATGGGTAAATATAAGTATTATCGTTAGGGTGTATATTACAATGTGTATATTACAACTCAATAGATTCGTCAGAGACAGCATAATTCCGAGTCTACCCATTTCCGTCTGTGTGTTGAAATCCCTATAGACATCGCAGTATTTAAAATAAGAGCTTTGCTATTTTAGATGTTTAGTATTGCAAACGCGGTATCTCCCATAAAAATGTACATCCAATTTTCGGTATTTTGAAAGTAGTCGACGCAACCGAAAGTGCTGTAAGACTGGCATACATCAATGCAGAAAACGAGAAAAGGATCTAAATTTGCATTTTGATGGTTTGAAGTTTGACAAGAAAATACGAATCATAGGTTCACGTTTTAACATGGAAGAGACCCTGCCCAATATTCGGTATTTTTATGGGTGTAGCCCCATATCCAAGGAACAATTTTACTTGTAATTTTGTCAATCCCTGCTTAATTATTTCTATATAATGAAACCAGTGAGCGGATCAGTAAAGTAAGAGTCTAAGCACAACCAGAGAGTAAGAAGTCACGGGCATACAAAGGGAAGAATTAGCGGCTAGCAGCATAAAATGTCAATTATTTGTTTTCATTTTTAGAATATTATACGTTGTGCAAACCAAATTCAATTTATTATTTAATAACCAGTGAGCGGAGCAATATAGTCGGACGGGGCCGACCATATGATACCCTACACAACTACCACGGAAAGCTAACTCTCTGCGGATGTTTATTTCAAGGCAATATTTCGTGATATTTGCACCCTTTTGCTCGATTAGAGGTCAACAGCGTCTCTTCCTTGCATTGACATATTTTCCGAATATTACCAATATTCAGTACATTCCTTCTAATTAGGTACTTGTCCAAATTCCCTTCACCGGGTTGTGTTGTAATGTTTCTCTTATTACTATGGCCTATAGATCGACTCAAAAAAAAAAAAAAACAAAAAACAAAAAACGTCATGAACGCCATGAACGTCATGGAACATTTCAAAGCGATCAGCGCTATATTTCCACCCTCTAGTGTGGTAATGGGTTACTAACTGTTGTATGAATACGCAAGTACCTGTAAATATTTAAGTGTAACTCCCACATCCGAGGACAACAAGTAACACCCACATCCGAGGACAACAACTCCTCTTGGATATATAATCAAATTCTCGGATCTATGTCCTTCACGAGTAGAATACAAGATTTGTCATTTTTCATACAAAATTCAGGGTCCATTTAACCCGCTAAATATTGACCACTCTTTATCAAAACACGCATGCTTATTCTTTGGCCCGATACCCTCCTTTATGCAAAAATTCGCAATGTTTGGGCCATAATTGAGGCCTCTGGGGCGACTGGAAAAACTGACAAAAATTAAGTATTTGGTCCATTTCATCCCCTAAATATTAACCAATAGGGGTCTTCATTGAGGCGAACACATCCTACATGCAAAATTTCGTGAAGATTGGTCCATAACTATGGCCTGTATCGTGTTTACAAAATATAATGGACAGACGGACGAACGGACGGACACACATGTCTAGATCGACTCAGATAGTCGAGATATGACGATCGTTATACTTAAAGGTGGGTGTAGGACCAATATTTCGCAGCGTTACACATTCATGGGGCTGCACAAAGCTATAATACTGAAACATAGGTGTGTAGGGTATAACAAATAATGTCAAGGAACTTGTGGAAAATTATTGGAACAGTAGCAAGTTCGGCTTATTGCTATTATATTGATGGATTGTCATCATACCAAAGGGCGATATGTTCATCTCATAATTCAAAGAATGTTCAAAAGTCGGACGGGCCGACTATATGATACCCTTCACCACTTTGGGTACATACAAGATATGCTCATATGTACAATATCCTTTAGATATAATAGACATAGCATCTTTGGAGGATCATTGAAATGAAAGCTTGTTCGGCTTATCGCTATTACATTGATGGATTATCATTTCATAATGGTGTCCCCTAAAGCGATCTGAAAACCATTAAGGAAAGATCAAAAGTCGGACGGGGCCGACTATATTATACCCTTCACCACTTTGGGTACATACAAGAAATGCTCAAATGTACAATATCATTTAGATAGAATAGACATATCATCATTGGAGGACCATTGAAATGGAATCGAACGAAATTAACTGCGTGAAGTTAGATAGATGAACTAGATTAAAACATTCCCGTCACCTTGCCTCAATTGGTATGTGTATACCGATCTGAATTAAGATCTATATATAAATGGACGTATTTGAGCAAACGTGGCACCCACCATTCGGTATACTGCAACACAGTTCACTATCCATAATTTATCTAGATGCAAAATCCAATACACGATATTCTCGGATCGATACGTTGTGGACTAATTCGTTCTGAGCGGACAAACTTTAGTTATTTGGGATATCATTTTTATGAACTCGAATGAATATTTCATGTAAAGCGAACAGACATAGGCTCCTCCTGCAGCAATTGCAGTACGCTGTGCAAAATTTTGTCTCAATCGGACAAACACTGACAGTATGGTGCACCATTTACATAAAATCGCACGAAAATAATATGGAGCTATATCTAAATCTGAACCTATTTCAAATAAACTCCACGGATGCGAACCTGTAGTAATTTCAATAAGGTATGCAAAATTATGTCTCAATTGGAAAACATTGACTGTATGGTGCTCCATTTACATAAAATCGGTTTGGTGCACCGTATCTATATATATATATATATATAGGAGCTAAACCTAAATCTGAGCCGATTGTCTCCAATTTCAATAGGGTTTGTCCTTGGGCCAAATATGTCAAATATCAACCAAATCCGAACATAAATTCGATCTGTACTTTGTTCACAAAAATACATGGACGGACAGGTAGACGGATATGCATAAATGGATTTAAAAAGTGATTATATGCATATTGTTAAAAGAACCATGGGCCTATGTAGATTCCTCTTGCCTGTAACAAATATATGCACAAAGACATAATACCCTGTACAACAGTGTGGTGAAAAATAAACACACATCAATAAAAAACTGCATTAAATTTAATTGATTTTTCATTCTATTGTAGCCTATTCCAAAATCGCATATAACTGCATGTTATCAACATAATTTGTACAAACGCCAAATGATAAGAAATCCTTTCGTTTGTTTCCATGCCTGTAAGGATTTTTTGTCGGCTCTCTTCTGTTTTTTTTTCGGCTTCGGGGCAGTTTTAAATCATATGAAGCTTTTAGCAAAGAAATAGTGTACTGAGCAATATGCCATAGGCATATAAAAAAGGATTTTGTTAATTGTATACGCTCAAAGTAGAGATGAAACGTTTCGTGGCAAAGAAAAAAATAAATAAAAAAGAAAAATATTAATGTAAAGACCGGAAAAGGAAATAATTTGACCATTTGCAAATGGCTGCAAAATATAACATTAAATGTTTTGCAAAGCATCTAAAATCTATTTTAAATTCTACTTCATGTTGCTAATGCATTTTGAAATGTTGAATGAGAGCTTTATTGTATTTTATGTTAAAATGGGAAATTTGAAACAGATATGTAATATACTAGATGAGCCATTGGATCTTCGCTGCCTCATATAAAATTTTTATGACGATATCGGTAAGAGTTCTTAAGATATACACCAAGACATACTTTTGATTACTTATGTCAACAAATGTCAGCTGTGATAATAATTCATGGACAGATAGACATGCATAAATCGACTTTTGATCAATACGGAAATGTCTCTCGAATTATACCCTTCACCACACGGTGGTACCGAGTATTATGTCTTTGTGCATATGTTTGTAACAGGCAAAAGGAAACGAGATAGACACATGGTTCCTTTTGAGAATATGCATAGAATCACTTTCTGAGTCGATTTCTGCATGTCCGTCCGTCTGTTGGTGTTACATTGTAAACAAAGTACAGGTCGCATATATAATCCGATTTGGATGAAATATTGTACAGTTCATTTCTTTGGCCCACGGACGTACCCTATTGAAATTGGGCAAAACGGTTCAGATTTAGATATAGCCCCCATATATAGTTTCGTCCGATTTTATGTAAATGGTGCACCAAAGAACCTATATATCTTTGGATTTGCACGAAATTTGGCACAGCGCACGGAATTAAATCTAGAGTGGTGTGTGCTAAGTAACGTGAAAATCGGTTCAGATTTAGATATAGCTCCCATATATAGTTTAGTCCGATTTTATGTAAATAATGCACCAAAGTCCCTATTTGCACAACATTTGGCAT